GCGTCAGTCGGAGCATTGAAAATTCCGCGAGTCATACATTCCTGCTCTAGCTGACGTGTTTTCCCCCACTATATATGCAGCTGATTATCAATATCAAGTTTCTGTAAATGTCTAAAATCATAAAATAATTTTATTTTATTTTATTTTTGGCTAGTTCGCACGCTCAGCTGACGCATAATCCACCCTCAGTTGTGCGGCTGACTACTTTCTTTTAATTGTAATCAATGTCAATAACACGTGAAAAAAATTTCATGTGGAATAAAATACTTTTTAGATTTTTTTTTTTTGACGTGTTCTATGGGGTCTCATAGCAAACGCCCCCGCTGGTGCGTCAGCTGACCTTCACTTTCGTTATTAGAAAGAGCTTCTTCACTAGTATTGTGAAGTAAAGATCGGCATAAAAACACTAACCAAAATAGCCGCTGCCTCCCGGACTATTATACTTTTGTCGCCATTTTATTATTATGCAATATTGTCATTTGTTTTTCTAAGCACAAGTGAATACGTTTTAATTAGTAAACAGTGGATTAATTTATTAACGAATTATGGAAAATTATAGCTTTGAGTTCTGTGCTTGTGATGTGTTTAATGAAATTGGTAACGAGTGTGTACATTTTCAATATTGACGTTTGGTAATAAAATTGAAATAAGTGTAAAGTCATGGTGTGTGAGCTGTTGTGACCAGTTGAGATTGAACTAAAAGAAAGGTAATGTTATTCGTTTTAATAAAAAGTATTATGATAGTTTTAATTAGTTATCAGGTTGTGTACACCCAAATAAATTATTTTGTTTGCCTTATTTGTTTTTTTCAAAAGATTGTAATAAGAATGTTTGAAAATGGAACTCCGCTGGATATTCCTATTTAAATAACTTTTATAAAGCTGTGATGAACAGATCATAAAGTATATACTAGATGTTCGTTCTGATCGGACTGCTGTAACATTATTCGCGAAGATTATAAATGTTTAAATGAGATTAATATTTTCTGATTACTTCGCGTATTTTATTATGTTAAAAACTACATACTCCCGACCTTTCGATGACTTGGCAGCAACCGTGATCACGGCGGACATCTCGTCTGCCCGTTAAAAAAATAACAATATTAGTTTATTTTGACTAAATAGTTTTCACGACCGTAAGAAGATTAGTTTAATTATTAATTTAATTGGTCTCTAGTATTGTGGAAAATGAGATTTTGTCACCATTTATAACAATAATTTTAATTCAAATATCATTCCGTATAAGGGTCCGAAATATATAAACTGCAATAAATATTTCTAAGGGATTGCTATAAAGATTCAACTGAAACTTGAAATAATCAAAAAAAAAAACAAACTTAAACTGAAAATTGAAAACACCGTCCGCCATGTTTTTAAGTCACAATATTGTAAACAACGTAATATCAAACGCTATTTCAGGTTATTCGTGGTCTTTCATTTATACGCCTTGATAATTATTTATACCACGTAAAGAGAACAAAAGATTGTTAGATGGAGTATACTCTTTTCTTGACAACATCCTCATCATTTGTTACCAAACGCTTGCGTTTGCTCTCCTTTTGACAACTAAATCGAGTTGGAACACAATGCGTTTTCATTCTGATTCTTTTATCTGAACCCATGATTTCATATTGTTTATAATTTTCCATGTCACTTTCAAGCTAATATAAAAACAGAACCAATGTTAACACCTGGGCAATTGACTACGCATAGTCGCTTACTGAAACTTTATTTAGAAAGAAAAAATATTAATACATTATACATAGTTTAAAGTGAAAATTACAAAAATTTATTTGTTGTAAGTTTCTTTAATTTACATTGAAGTGATCTTCACAGAAATACACTTCTGTTCGACTGACAGAGTTACAGTATTTTTTTTAGCTAGTTGTAATCAGGTATTACACATATTCTCAACACTGGGTACTTTAATCCACAACTTTTCTGGGTTCTTTATTGATGCATTCTTACATTACCGCACTATACACTAGTGATAACTACTATATTTTATCATGTAATCCTTGTGAAGCCATGGTTTTGAATTCCGATAAACAGGTTATGATAGTCACTCGTATTGTTTACAAGAATATTACGTCACGGCACAGATAATTAGTAGACCATCATGGCGGACGGCGTTTATGACTGCATAGCGAAAATATATTTGAAAATTTAAAGTTTTTTAGAATAGGTGTTTCAAAAAAAATTATATTTTTTTATGGCATAATATAATCGTAATGTACCGTTCTATGAAATAATAAAAATATTTACTTTCAGATGAATATTGTTCGTCACGACATCGTTTACAACGTAAGTACATTTTTATACACTTATCGCCTGAAGAAAAGTTTTTTCACAGTAAATATTGCATAGTGCATTTATTCGTAGGTTTTCTCGTTAAGGATTTTAGTAGGAATTTATATTGTAGAAGTAATGAAAACAATTAAGAGAACAACCTTTAATGATCGTTTGGTTTAATTTATGCCAACACAAGAGGAAGAGGTTCTTGAGGATTTATGCTATTTATGCATTTAACATTTCTTCGTGCTTGTCACACTTTTTAATTAAATTTTAATACCTTATCGAATTATTCGTTTGAAAATTCATGAAAAATATTTTTCTGCGCAAATTTTCCATAACTGATGTTATTTATTTAATCCACGTTTACCATTAAATATTGAACACATTCAACTATCCCTACTAATATTATAAATGCCTAAGTGGCTCTGTCTGTCTGTTACGCTTTCACGCCTAAACCACTGAACTGATTTTAATGAAATTTGGTACAGAGATGGAGTTGACCTTGTAAAAGAACATAGGATAGTTTTTATCCCAGACTTTTGAAAGGTTATCTTGGAAACGCGATATAACCGAACTCCACGCCGGCGAAGCTGCGGGCGGAAGCTAGTCTTCATATATTTCTGTCGCAACGAAAATTATTTCATATCAATCGTTTTTCAGTTATAGTAATCATTTATTGCACCACGCTTTATAATGTTACATTTTATTTTAATATCAACATAACATTTAACTATAAAATTTTAATCTAGTATAGAATTGTATTAGTTTCAAGAATCCGATGATATTTCACCTAGTTTGTGTGCTAAATAGGACAGCGTATTGAAATTAATTACTACTTTCGGGGAAGGTGATCAAAACATGCAAAACCAAGTGATTCACAAAAATTTGTTTGTGATTAAGTGAAAATTGGTAATACTTATTATAAAATATTTATCTTAATATTATGTATATCCAATTGTTTTTCATTGTAGAAGTCTGTATTTCATAACTATATTCGCTGTCTCTGTTATGCTCGTTTATTATTTAAAGAATCCGAAATTATGAAACTACCTACTGAAAAAATTTGCTAAATAAGAATATCACCCACAGCTATAATTATTTCATATTTTATATCTTAATCAATAATCAGTATAATGTATAAAAATAATATAATTTCTTTCAAATATTTTATTTTAATTTATTGATTATAAATTTCAATTAAAAAGTCAGTGGTGGCTCAGTGGTTAAAGGGCCTGCCTCTCGTCGCCGAGGGTGCGGGTTCGATCCTGGCCCGGGCAAGTACCAATGTGATTTTTCTGAATCATATGTATTAGTATAGTTATTAGACTTATGTAGGTATTACAACAATTTTAATACAAACAATCTTCAAATATCTAAAAAATAATAACATATATTTTATAGTATTTTCATATATAAATTAACGTGTTTTTGAATTCCTTAAATGTGTATGGAATTTTCTTCTATTTATGGTCGTTTTAAATAATGCTAGAAGTTATTGTTGTGAGTAAAGACAGTACTTTTATAAGGTATTCTTAACATTATGAATGTCACTGAGGACATATTTATATGTAAAGTCATGCATGCCCTTTGCTAAAGCGAATGATTGGTTAAAATATAAAGATTAAATGGAGAAGAAATACCGAGAACTATTTTTGTAAATTTTTACGTATGTTCATGATTAAAAATATTTTAAAGGTTGCCTAGAAGAGATCGATGTTTTAGCGATAAGGCCGCCTATTTGTACATTTTCCTTTCTTTGTTTTTCTCTTGTTATTTCTGTCTATATTGGTGTACATTAAAGAGTAAATAAATAAATAAACATACTCGTACGTCAACGGTTTGACCTTTTGGGTACTATAAAAAAAATCTTTAAAATTATCTGCCTTCATAGGGGCCATCCATAAAATACGTCACACTAATTTCATGACTTTTTGAGCCCTCCCCCGTCCTTGTCACAAGTGGTCACATTTCTGAGCCCCCCCCCCCTAGTGTGACGTCACATGTTTTGCAATTTAACATCGAAAAATTATTAAATTAAAGCAGCAGTTCCGAAATTAGTATTATTTCCATTTAAATTGAGTATTTTTTTATGAAAACAACAAAATATCAATTATTTGAAACAATAATAAAAAAATAAGCTAATAAATATGAAGAAAAAGAAACTCAATCATCTTCAGTCCATGGACTTTGAACCCAGTCTTTTAAATTATTTATAACTGGCATGGCAGTCACAACTCACAGTCATACTCAGTACTGTGCCTGCACTCTCAAAGTTTCGTTTTCCAAGTCCAGGTCAGTAGTTTTATTACTGGAATCGAGATGTGAACCGAAATTATCGTGTTTAAATACAACACCAGTAAGTTTACGACTAAGAGGTGCCATTCGTCGTTCTACTCTGTTAAAGCACTTCTTCCTGGGGCATTTGTGGCAATGTAAACAGCATCCAAATGAAAATCTTTAAAATGTTGTATAGCTGAAATTAATAGTAGATTTTGAAATGTGATGTCACGAAACTTAGGACCCCTCCCACCCCTTGTCACACCATGTCACACTTTGTCGACCCCCTCCCCCCTACTTTACGTGTGACGTACTTTATGGATGGCCCCATAGTCTTAAATCCATACTCGGATTGTTAAATCTAATATGAGACGAAACTTCTCAGCAATGCCTGGGACTTGCGACCCAGGTGTAGGTTTAAGGGGCCCCTTAACTAACGCGCGTTATACGCTCATCTCCACTGTCCAAGCTCCTCTCCCTACCTAACCAAATTTGAAAAGAACCTACTAGGGCTGCCTTCGATGTACGTTCCAAGAATGCATTAATGTGAGTTCTGGACAAGCCCAAGTCCTTTAGTAGGTTATTGAGAGATTTCGCTGTTATACCTCTCGCTCCCACCTCCACCGCGTACAAATCTACTACGAACCTATTTCGAGTGAGTTCGTTTGTGAGCTCGTAATATTTGTTGACCTTGATGGTATGGTCTTTGGGGATGTTGGTTTCCCAAGGGACCGTAAGCTCTATCATCACTACGCGCTTTAAAATTCGCTAAAACAAAAATATATCCGGTCTGGAGGCCGACGCACAAATGTCCTCGGGGATTTTATACTGTTTTTCATACGTGTCCATCATTATAGTCCAATCCGACGCCGCTTTAAGGATGGAGTAAGGCTTGACGTTTGATTTTGTAGCCCTAGTGCCTTCTCTCACAAAACCTACTGATCGTTCGTTTTTGTGGTAATTTCCTTTTGCGCTCTGGCTACCGAAAGACTAACCGCTTCACGTATGACTTCTAAAACCCTATCGTGACGACGCGAGTATTGACCGCTGTCCAGGAGTACCCTACATCCCACCAGCAGATGTTTAGCAGTTCCAACTGCCTTTCCACAGATATAGCAAGTTTTTTCGGTACTTTTACCCCATCTTACTAAATTACTCTGATCTGGGAGAGTCATCTGGAACGCATTGAGATAGAATTTTAGCAATGCTGGCGACCAATCGTAAATTAAAGTGCGCCATTTTAATGCTAATGGAATGCCAAAATCTCCTATGTCTAACCACTCGTTCTGCATTTCTAAATTCATTGCATGGATCTTATATTTATCATTCTCGTCTTGCCGAATAAAAGACTTCAATATATCCGCATCTTGGACTTTCCTATTTGATCCTAACCCCACTCTGTTACTTTGTGCTCCTATCATAAATTGCTTATGGAATTGAAGTCGTGACTCTAGCTCGGGGGCATCTTCATCTTTTGGGAGCGATGTCACTACGTCATCATGGGATTTCCCCAACATATATCTCTTGGAAACTCTTAGGTGTTTATAGAGCTCCGATGGCCTTTTTAGACTCATCCCAAAACTATTGCTTCCCCTGAATAACGCCGATGAATCAGCCGTTAGCGCGAGCCCGAGCCACAACTTGGACATCTTTATGACGCCTGCATCTAACTTTGACAAAAGGGTTTTATTAAAATCATAGACGAGGAAAGGCCAATTCAAACGTGAAGTTAAGTAATTCTCGTAGATCCATGCTTTTTTGACGTTACTGATCAGTTGGCTATCTACCTTGTTAAGATCGTTCAAAAAGCTATCTACTATTCCTTCTAAAGATGGAGTACGGCCTATATTATCAATCTTACGACCGAGAAATTTAAATGGTGCATTTTCCGTAACCGTAGAAATGCATTGACCGCCTAACGATAGTCCCGGGTCGTATGAGGTGTATCTTGTATTCCGCCTACCAAGACACAGACAGTGACATTTACTGGGTTTTGTCCTCAATCCATCCGTCCACTCACAGAATTTATCCACTTCATCCAATAATACCTGACAGTGTTTGGGGTTACGTGTCAGTATTGCGAGATCGTCAGCGAAGGCTAAAATGGATTCCGTGTATTTATTATTAAACTTAAACCGATAACCCCATTTTCTCTCGTTACAGATTAATTTGTCTACTAAGATGTTAATAACGATATTAAACGCAATTGGAGATAGACAACAACCTTGAAACAGTCCTACATTATAACTCAAACTTTTTGAAGGGCCTTCTTTAGTTATTATAGAAAACCTTAATTTTGAGTAATACGACGCGATCATATCTCTAACTAGGGGTGGAAAGTTGTACCATCTAAGCGCGAATAGCATCAATTCGTGTTGTATCGACCCGAACGCGTTCTCCAAGTCTATCCAACAAACAGTGATTTGCCGCTCGCCCTTTCTAGCATCTTTCAAACTCTCCGACAGCAAGGTGTTGTGTTCTAGACATCCAGAAATCCCGGGTAGAAACCCTTTCTGGTGATTTGGCCTAAAATAGTTATTGCTGAGCATGAATCGCGTCATTCTCGTTTGTAGAACCGAGAAAAAGATTTTCGATATAGTATTTGTTAAAGCTATCGGTCTAGTATCTTTCGGATCAGTTACTCGATCTTTTTTGGGAATGAGGACAAAAATTGCTTTCCCGAAACACTCCGGGATTTGCTTCCTTGACCAGATTTTACCGTATATATTTAGGAGGTGTTTACGAACCGATGGACATTTTTTAATATTAATGAATTCTATAATATTATATGGTTTCATATTTTTATATATACATACGTTATAATATAAAATATAACAATGGTACTTTATTATTAACGAGTTATTTATATTTGAGTTAATACTATTGTTCTTTTCATTAAATACTATTTTATAACATTGTCAGGTTCTTATGATAACATTCATGAAAAGAACTTTGTCTTCAATAGTTTATTTCATAATTGATCGTTAGTTATTTTGTTCTTCTTTACATGTTGCTATTTGTTATAAAGTAAAAACAAGTCACTTGAACTTGATTGCCATAGAAAAACTCCGTTCTTGTTCAAGATATCTTTACATTATTAATAAAGTGCGACGTTAAGAAATTGCTTTGAATCACTATCACTATGATGTATGGACGTGATAGGTTCAAGTACAATTCAAGTAAATTATGTAGATTATTTTTATTTCTTTAATTAAAATTTCGAAGCTAATGTGATAGAAAAGTTCGTATAATAATTTTTATTTTAAATAAGATCTTTGAATAGGCGAAATAAATTATTTCGATGAATATCTTAAGCGTCCTGGTTAAACAAAGGGAAACAAAACGAGAAGTTTAATGAGTGAGTCTCAATATAAATAAAATAAAATAAAAATATTTTTGATGCCTACTTAGAAGTAAACGGTTAATCGAACTACATAAGTAACACTTTTTCTATACATTGTCAATTATATCACAGTAATTAAAAACGTTTCATAGAATACTTAATGTAATCTCTTTAATCACATCATTCTTAAAAATCTTTTTAATCAATTAAGATTGTCGGACAAAATTCGATTCTTTAATTCAAAACTAATGCAATGTTTCGTTTTCGTTGTATTACTTTAGAGAAAGTATATTTTACTTTTCCTATGTCAAAAACGAAGTAAGGATAAAATTGAGGACACAAGTCAGTGACACTTCCTTTGTTAGAAGTATTAAAATGAAATAACGCCTTTAATGTTATACGCGACACATGTCCTTGGGCACGATGAAAGAAGGCAATTTACATTGTTAGTTCCATCTTTAGAAGATTCTGAAAAATTTCATAATTTTATTTAAAAAAATCCTGTTTATTCGATATTTTTCAATACAAACTATATCGTAAAAAAATTTTTCGTAACTCTTGTTATTTTAAGACTTGAGTGATGATTATTCAATAGAAGTATTGGGTTCAAGTCGTTAGTTTCAAGTCATTCATTTTATACGGCGAAAAGAATTACATCGTTAATATAAGAAATATGTAAGACACAAACTTTCTACGGTTAAATTACATTTAAAATAACTATAGTTCATGATACAATTATTTAATTAATCATTGTAAATATATTAAGGAACTGTAATAATTGATTTTAAGAATTCAGTCTTTTCCCACTCCTGTCAGATTTGCGGACGATCTGCTTTACAAAGCCGAGGAAGTCACTACAGTCCTAAAATTGTTGCTACTTAATTATGTTGTCATATGAAAGCTTGTTTAAAGAATTCGGACATTAAGTATCCCTACTAATATTATAAATGTTAAAGTAGCTCTGTCTGTCTGTCTCTCTGTTACGCTTTCACGCCTAAACCACTGAACTGATTTTCATGAAATTTGGTACAGAGATAGAGTTGACTTTGAGAAAGAACATGGGATAGTTTTTATCCCAGACTTTTGAAAGGTTCTCTTGAAAACACGATATAAGGGAACTCCAAGCGGGCGAAGCTGCGGGCGGAAAGCTAGTTGTATTATAAAATCTATTATTTACTTATTTGAATTGATATTTTGTAATTTAAACAGAAACAAATAGGCAAAAAGCCATAGAAATCCTTTTTATAATTTTTTTTTAACAAAAATTCTCAATATATTCATCGTTAAATTACATAGAGTTCTGAATCACAAATTTATTATAATAAAAATGCCATGACGTTTGAGATACTACTTTAATGAGATAGTTTTTTAAGGATCCGCTGAATTACCTTTTATGTTTTATGCTCTTTAGTCACGTTCTCTTATGTAGTCTGATTTTATAGAATAAATAATTTTTTATTAAACTCGTTAGCGGGAAGATGAGATGAAATTCATTTTTAAAATACTTTCTCAATAATAAATCAACCTTTCAAATGTTTGTTATAGTATTGAAACAAATTATACATAATTTTTATTTCTGCATCCAATTGTTTTTTTTTTATGAAATTTAATAACCAAGTTGTTTAACTTTTGAAGGGAGAACTACAAAATACTTTTGTTTTAATTCAATTAAGCTTATTTCTTATTTTTCATAACATTTAATTCCATTTGTTTGTAATCAATTTTTCGCTGACATTTCCAATTTTTGAATATCATTCCAAAGCTATATTACGTAGTTTCATACATGTGACTTTGGCCAATAATTTTTTCATGAATTATTTAAAATTTCTATTTTAATTATAACATTATTGTATAAAAATGAAAAATCTTACCCTAGTTAATAAAAAAACAGGTCAAAATTAATTACATCTACTTTTTAAAAAACCCATATTCGAAACCACCATTTTTTTAATGTAAACAAGTAATATATATTTTTTCGGAATATTATTTAGATTTTTATCACTTTAACATATGTAATATTGTATTTTATTTCTAACATTAACATTAATCATGATTATTTTCATAATATTTTAATTTATCATTTGAAATTCAAACTTATGGTTATATGTGATAGAACCTAAATAATCTGAGTTTCAATTTACATTACACAATAATACGTTTGGGACGAGAAAAGAAACTGTTAATCTTATGTTTTAATAAGTGAGTAAGTTTAATAAATAGTTAGTCGACGTTAAGGGGACATTTCTAAGCTTCTCAATTTACGTGAAAGTCACTATATTGAAGGCTATAAAGAAGGGTACTACTTCTCGATGTTCACGTTAACTGAACCGTTTCAATTTATGGCCTTGGAATCTGACTGCCACGTCCGTTTTAAAAATATTTTTCTTAATACTTTTCTTTACTTTTAAATATTAAATGAGATATTCATATTTTACTCAATCTATATCTATTTATATATATATCTTTCTATATATATAAATGAATTGCTGTTCGTTAGTCTCACTAAAAGTCTTAGAGAAGTTCAACTAAATAACACTACATTTCTGTAATCGAAATGAATTCATTACTGTTGTGAAACGAAATTAAAATTTTCCTTTTCAAATATAAAACAATAAAAAATTCTTCATCTTTTAATCACCAAACGAAATGTTACATAAAACGAAGCCTGGTGACGAAACGGAGTCCGCCGGGTTTACGAGTCTCATTATACAATATAAATAAACGCTCATATCTCGTCTGTCCGTGATCACGGTTGCTGAAAAGTAGCCGAAACGTCGGGAGTATGTAGTTTTTATCAAAAATCTAGTATATCCGAAAAATATAAGTTTAATTTACAATAAAATGAGTTCAATACACACATTAATACGTATAATATTTTCAGGTCAACTGAAAGAGCATCAGATTCGAGACCACAACCCGTTCGAGGAGGTTCTACCTCTGTGTTCTACTGAGCACTTGATTAACCTGCCCAAGGTATGTACGTCATATAACTCTACTGCTACTTATATATACTGCTACTTATTTATCTACAATTAACAAACTGCAATTATATAAGAATATATTATTTTCAGAACAAAGCCTGCCCTCCCATCAAGGACGTCGCGTGTCACGCCATCAGCGACACGTATGAAGGTGTCACGTTGGTCATACAAGAGGGTCTTCTGTGTCGCGAGTGTGACACGCCGCTTGACAGTGACAAACACTTCCTGTTAGTATAACCACTTGATAAAACGACGCTGCAAACATTGAATACAATCAGATTTATTGAATGTCAGTAAAGAGACGTAGTTTTTCCTTTATCGTGTTGAAAACACTCATTAACTTTTACAAAAAAAAAAAATGTTATTTTAGTAGCCCTTATTATATTGTGATATCATATTTTTAATATTTCTATATTTTCTAATGAAGAAAGATTAGATAAATAATATACCAAATGTTTAATACATACTAAAGTATAATTTTAATATTCTCAATATACAGCGGTCGCACGTCGCGCAGCAAGTGTCCATATGCTACATCATGTTACCGAGCGATGTTGGGACACAGTGGATATTGCGCCGGCTCACTTTCACTGGAGGCCGCTCCTAGACCCGCTCCCACGCTATACTGCGTCTGCGAATACTCTACAGACATAAGTCAGTTTACACTGTTTATAGGATATCAATTAATATAATATATTTTCATTTTCTTTTATAAATTTTATAACTATTTATGTAACTGTTAGACCAGCAGCATATATAGATCAATATAAAATATACAAATACCCTATGACTATAGTAACTAATAAAATATTAATATTTTAATCCCCAGACGGCATTGTTAAATTAAACAAGTATTAACAGATTTTATTTTCACGACTCAAAAATTGTATACACTTCGTAAATATTTGCAATTCTGTATGAAAAACTTTGTTGTTCTAATATAATATTACTCCAGGCACGGACATTCTATCTCATCTCCTCGTGACACAACACACAAGCGCGTACTTAACTGAGGAACTAGCACGAGCCAACACCGTCAGGGAAGAACCAAAACCTGCTGATGAAGTAGAGCCTGTAAGTATCTACTAGTGATTACTCATACTGTTTTGCGATTATATTATATTATCACATTGTTTATATATTTAATGTTTTAGATTGTGGAGAACATGCCGGCTATCCCAGATTACGCTCCCCCATTGGTCATCAACACTCAGCTACCTCTAGA